TGCACCGCCGCCTCGCCGCCCTCGGCGGCGGCGGCGACGGCCGCGGCGGCCGCGGCGCCCGAGACCTCCGCGGCGGCCGCCGCGGCGCCGCGCTCGGTCCGCGGCGCGGCGCTCGCCGGCCGCGCCGGGCTGCCGAGGGACGACGCCGTCGGCGCCATGGTCTCCACCGGCCGCGGCGACGCCGACGCGGGCCGCGCGCCCGTCGTGATCCACGCGGCGCTCGACGACCGCGCCTCGCCCTCGGGCACGACGAGGTGCCGCGCCGGCTTCTGCGGGCTGCGCGGCCGCGACGGCCGCCGGCCGAGCGTCGACGCCACCGTCGGCGGGAAGCGGCTCTCGATGTCCTTCGCCTGGATCGATATGGCCATGGCGCCGGGGGACTCGGCCATGGCGGAGAGCTCCCGCGCGTGATCGCGGCAGCCCGACGTTTCATCGGGTAGATCGTGCCGCTGAGTATCATATCATTGAAGCGGACATCGTTGCGCTGATCTGTGATGGAGGAGCCCTCCGCCGACGCCGCGCCGGAGGCGGCGCCCCTCGACCTCGACGACGCGTCGCCGGCGATGGCGTCGGCGCCGGCGTCGTCGCCGTCGGAGAAGAAGAAGAAGCTCCTCACCGTGAAGAAGGCCACGGCGAAGCCCAAGGCGAAGAAGCAGATGCTCGTCGCGCGCAAGGTGCGCAGCGGCGAGGAGATCCCGCGGCACCAGCTCGCGAACGTGAGCTCGCCGGGGAAGGTGCGCGGCGTGCAGCGCACGGCCTACGGGGGCGTCCTCGGCCGCACGGTCCTGGGGAGCGCGGAGCGCTTCGAGGAGTACGAGGCCGCCGCGCAGCACGGCGACGCGAACTCGCAGGACGGCAGCGAGGACCAGAGCTCCGTCACGGGCAAGGGCAACGCGAGCCCCGGGAGCCGCTCCGCCGGCGGCCGGTCGCCGACGCCCCAGAGCGGGGGCCACGGCGAGACGTTCGACAACCTGTCGGCGAACCCGAAGCAGTACCTCAACGCGCTCCGCGTCGCCACGACCAAGGCCTACGCCGAGGCGGAGCAGACGCGGCTCCGCGCGACGCGCCACATGGAGGCCCTGCACCTCCACGACCGCATGGGCGTGAACAAGGAGGCGCGCGTGCTCAAGAAGTGGGTCGACCAGCAGCGCGACTGGCAGCGGCTCACGTCGGGCCTGAGCCGCCTGAGCCGCAAGCGCCCCGAGGAGGTGCTCATGCTGAGCTCCTGCGAGGAGTACCGCGAGCAGACGGAGCAGTACCAGGCGCTCCAGGCCGCGGTGCCCCAGCACGTGCGCCACGCGGAGCACTACTGGGAGATGAGCCTCCGGGGCCACGGCCAGCGCCTCGTGCGCATCGGCAACATCTTCAGCGGCCTCTTCTGCCCCTTGCAGAAGGAGATCCCCGTGCCGTCCATGATCCGCCGGCCGAAGCTGCCCGGGAGCGCGCTCGCGATGCCGAGCAACGCGAGCGGCGCTCCCCGGAAGACGTGGCGCGACGACCCCTACATGCTCGCGCGGAAGCGCCAGTGGAAGTCGAACCTGGAGGCCTTCCTGCCCCACACCGTCGGCGAGGACGAGACCCAGGGCCTGCTCGTCGTGGGCAAGGACCTGTTCGGCTGGGCCGCGGACGGGTCGCAGGCCGTCGTCGACGCGCTGGAGACGGCGCACCTCACGTCGCCCCTGGAGGACCTCGACGGCCCGCTGGACCCCGTGGGCGAGGACGGCGCGCTGGAGGAGTCGCCGCGGGGCGTCGAGGGCGCGGAGCCGCCGCCGGAGCCCCGGGGCGACCCCTACGCGGCCGTGCTCGAGTGCGTGGGCACGCCCCACCTCCACATGGCCCACGCCGCCGGCGCGGGGCCGTCCATGAACGGCCTCGAGCTGCGCAACGCCGGCGGCACCGTCATCTACTACGAGTGGCGCCGCCGCGCGGGCTTCGCGACGACGTCCGACGAGACCATGTCCTACGCGGCGCCCATGGCGAGGCACTCCGCCGTGGCCACGGCCAACGACGTCACCTTCTTCTGCCCCGCGCCCTCCGGGTCCCTGCTGCCCGGCGAGGCGGAGCGCGTGCGCTTCGGCTTCCGGTCCAAGGTCCCCGGCGAGTTCTCCGAGGAGTGGAAGCTCGTCGTCGTGCCCAAGGCCGCGGTGACGGGCCTGCCGACGCAGGACGGCTCGCCGGGCATCGTCCTCCACGGCGTCGCGACGCCCAAGGACGACGCGAAGCACCTCCGCGACGCCGTCGACGCGCGCATCGCCGCCAAGGTCGGCCTCCGCGCCGCGTCCGACGTGCTCTACGACGACATCGTGGACAAGGTCGCGACGCCGCGGGAGACGCTCGACGCGCGGGAGGTCGAGGCGCAGCGCCTGGCCTTCGAGGCCAAGGGGTCGAGCCGGGGCCTCGTCTACACGCCGGAGCGGCGCGCGGCGCTCGCGGCGCTCTTCGCCGAGGCCAAGGTCGCCGCGGCGGAGATCGGGGCGTCCGTCGCCGCGGAGCTCGGCGAGCCCCTGCCCGCCGAGGACGCGGCCGAGGAGGCGGCGGAGGAGGCGCCGCGGACGCCGCTGGACGTCGCGCGCTTCGCCGTCCGCGCGGCCAAGCTCGCGGCGCTCCCGGACCCCGAGGCCTGGGACGGCGACGTCGACAAGATCGCGGCCATCATCGACGCCATCTACGTGCCGCCGCCGCCGGAGCCGGAGGTCGTCGAGGAGCCGTCCAAGTCCACGAAGGCGACGAAGGACGACGAGGAGGACGAGGAGGGCGAAGACGACGACGAGGAGGAAGACGACGAAGAAGAGGACGAGGAGGACGACGACGAGGAGACGGCGAAGACGCCGGCGAAGCCCGAGATCCCCAAGGACCCGCGCGCGGTCCGCGTCGAGGACCTGCGACAGCGGTGGGTCGGGTTGGTTTCCGCCGCGTCCACCACCGCCGACGAGGACAACAACCCGCGGATGGCCGAGCCCTTCTTCGAGGCGAGCTTCTCCGGCCTCGGCGAGATCCTGGCCAAGGCCTTCGTGGCCGCGGAGGAGGCCGCGGCGCTCGAGGGCGCCCTGCCGCCGCCGAAGGTCGTCGTGACGGACGCCGCGGAGGCGACGGACGAGTCGCCGGCCGTCGAGGCCTTCGACGGCTGGGCGGCGCCCATGGAGCTGGCGGCGAACGTCGCCGGCGCCATCACGGACGGCGGCGACGACCTGGCGCGCGACTCCGGCGCGGCCATCGGCTACGCCGTCGCGGCCGTCGCGGCCGCGGGCGCGCAGGGGCCCGACGCGTACCGCGGCGCGGCCCTCGCGACGGCGAGGCGTTTGTTGGACGACCTCTTCTCGCCGCCCGGCGACCGCGCGGCGCTCGCGGCCGCGGGCGAGGCCGCCGCGGAGGCGCGGGCCGCGGAGGACGCGGCCGCCGCGGACGAGCCCGCGGACGGGTCGCCGCGGCCGACGACGGCGGGCGACGACGACGACGCCGAGGCGTCGCCGCGCGCGCCGCCGCCGCCGCCGCGCCTGCCCCACCCGGCGCACGCCAACGTCGCCGCCCGCGCCGCCGCCGCGGCGCGCCTCGCGGCCGCGCGGCCCGCGGACTGCGCGGGGCAAGTGGTTTTGCTCCAGTGCGATTTGGACGTCGGCTACGCCTTGGAGTACAACCCCCACGCCAAGGCCTGGAGTCTGGAGGAGGCGCCCGAGGCGCCGGCCAAGGCCGCGCGGCCGCCGTCGATGAAGCTCGCGGAGGTGCACCGGAGCCTCCGGGCGCTCGGCCAGGCGCCCCTCGGCGACCCGCCGGCCGCACCGACGCCGCCCAAGGCCGTCGTGCTGCTCACGGACCTCAACGAGCCGCCCCAGGTCGTCGACGACGACGACGAGCCGCCGAAGCCGCGGAAGCCGCCGTCGACCGCGTTGGTCGCCGAGGCGCTCGCCGCGCACCCGGGCGTCGCCGACGGCTTCGACGTGACGTTCGTCGGCGACGTCGTCGCGCTGGAGGCGGCGCTCGGTGCCGTCGCGGACTACGACGAGGCCGCGAACAGCCCCGTGCCCGTGTTTGTGGTCGAGGCGCGCAACGCCGGGAGCCGCCTCTGCGCGCCCGTGGACCTGCCCGCGGCGCCGAACCCGGGCGACGGCTTCGGCCTGCCCTGCTGGGTCGACAACGACGCCAAGGTCGCGCGCGAGGCCGCGGAGACGGCCTTCGAGCAGGGCGACGCGGGCTTCCGGCTCAAGCATCTCGTGGACGTCGTCGTCCACGACGCGCTCGAGTGCCTCCGGCCCCTGCCGCCGGCGACGCCGCGCGCGAGCGACGCGGACGCGGCGTCGCTCGCGAGACTCGCGGACGCGCCGCGGTTCCTCGGCCGCGCGGCGCACCTGCACCGCGTCGCGCTCGGCGACCTGCTGGCGCCGGCGCGGCCCCTCGTGGCGATGTTGGGCGACGAGCGCGCGCCGGGCGTCGCGCCGGGCCTGGCGTCGCGCGCGCGGCTCCTCGACTTCCTCGTGGACCACTGCGACGAGATCCTGCTCGCGGGCCGCGTCGCCCTCGAGTGCCTCGCGGCGCTGGGCATCGGCGTGGGCAAAGTCGAGCCGCCGATCGACGCGGCCCTGCTCCCCGGCGCGCGCGCGCTCCTGGCCAAGGCCGCGCGGCGGAACGTCGCGGTGCGCCTGCCCAGCGACTTCTACACGGGCGATCTGCTGGTGAACGAGTTCGGCGTCGTCGGCGGCGGCATCGAGGTCGAGGAGGACCACGACGACGAGGACAACGACGCGCCCGCGGACGGCGCGGCGCCGGCCGAGGACGAGGACGTCGACGCGTCCGCGGGCTTCGACTACGACGGCGACGTCTCCGACGCCAACGTCCTGGGCGCGGGCGCGGGCCGCGGCGTGCCGCCGGACGTCTACGCCCTCGACGTCGGGTCGACGACGTCGGAGAAGTTCAAGGACAGCATCGGCCGCGCGAAGACGGTCTTCTGGTCGGGCCTCCTCGGCGCCGCGGAGTGCGGCGCGTTCCAGAGCGGCACGCGCGAGATCACGGAGGCCTGCGTCTCGGCCCACGACGACCGCGAGGTGAACGTGATTCTGTGCGGCGGCGCGACGGCCAAGTGGGCCGCGCGGTTCGCGGGCGTCGAGGAGCACGAGTTCGGCCGCGGCGACAGCGTGAGCCACGTCGCGGACGCGGACGGGGGCACGGCCTTCGCCCACGTCCTCGCGGGCGGGCCCCGGCCGACGCCGAGCGGCGGGCCGGCGCCGCGCCTCGACGCGCTCCCGAGCCGCGACCCGGACGACGTCGAGCTGCTGTCCGACGAGACCCTCGTCAAGAAGCAGCGCGAGATCAACGAGCGCGAGGACGAAGAAGACGACGAGGACGGCGACGACGACGGCGACTATTAGGCCTCGCCCCTTCCCCCCCATTTCCCGCGTGTAAGCGTCTTCCGTTGGTTTGGGAGTGCCGCAGCCGCTCCTCGAACGGCTCCGATGTCGAAGACTCTGCGTATAAGGTGGTGGAAATGAAGTGGACTGGCAGCTTTGCTTCACCTTGAACAACACGGCCCGGGCTATCTCAGTCGATCTCGATGGGCTGCCGCTGGGCAGCCGTCACGCTGCTCCTCGCGAGCGCTGCGGCGAAGAGCAAGCGCCGCGAGGCGCTCGAACTCACGCTCGCCAAGGCGAAGCACTGGCTCGCCGTCGAGGAGGCCATCGAGGCCAAGGAGCGCTGGGCGCTGGCGAGGCACCGCACGCTGGCGGGCCGCGGCGACCTCGTCGAGGTGGTCGTCTCCGCCATGCCGCGCAACTTCACCTACGCCGTGCCGGATCCGAGGAAGCTCAAGAAGCTCATGGCCTACAACAAGACGGCGACGCGCGAGGGCAGGAAGATGCGCCTCGGCGGCTACCTCCGGCGCGGCGAGGAGGCGCTCGGCCACCGCGAGACCTACTTCGCGACCTACGGCGTCCCCATGCCCGTGGCGCGGGACCGCACGAGCAAGCGCGTCTTCGGCGGCGAGAGCAAGCACACGTCGCTCAACTTTGGCATCGGCGGCTTCACCGCGATGGGCCGGCTCCTGGGCCTGGGCTTCGTCCCCGTGCGCCTCGCCACGGAGGCGCTGCGCCGCGGCCTCGTCGCCCCGCTCCTCGCCGCCGCCGAGCGGCTCGGCGAGCTCCCCGCGCGGCCGCTCCGCGTCGCGGACGCGCTCCTCGACCGGGGCCTCGTGAAGGCGCTGCCCGTCGCGCACCCGCGGCTCGACCCGCGCTACGGCCGCGTCGCCTCCTTCTACTACCACGCGCTGCGCCTGACGGCGAGCCCGCGCGCCGTGGCCCGCGTCGCCTGGCGCACGCCCGCGGACGCCTGGCGCTGGGCCGGGCGGACGTACCGCGCCGCGGTCCTCGGCCACAAATCCTACGGCATCCCCGCGGCGTTCCTGCCGGCGGGCTGGCCGTCGCACGAGCGGCTCGAGGCGGCCCTGCTGCGGGCGGCGATGGAGGAGACGCGGGCCTACATCAGCCGCCTCGGGCCGCGCGCGGCCGCGCGGCGGAGGCGGCGCATCGCCGCGCGCGACAAGGCCGCCCTGGCCAGCAAAGCCGAGGCGGCCACGGCCCCGGTGCGCGACGAGCATTAAACCTGGCGTACGGGAGCCTGGTTCGCGTTTCGACGACATCCGAACATCAACCCAGAAGGCCCTGCGGCAATGTTTGTGGTTGCCTTTGGCAGTGCACTGGCCAAACCCCAGCTCATCGGGTCGAGGGCTGCCTCTCGCCGTCGCTTGTAGACTTCTCCCCGGCGGCCGGCGCGCGGCGACTTCCCTCGGCGGCGCCACCGCAGCGTCGCGTCCTCCCGCAGCGGCGAGCGCGACCGCAGCGGCGGCCGCCGACTGCCATGTTCTTCGGCGGCCAGGGCGGCTTCCCGGGCGGCGGGATGCCGCAGGGGTTCCCGGAGGGGTTCGGCGGCATCCCGGGCATGGGCGGCATGCCCGGCGGCATGGGCGGCATGCAGCAGGGCCCGCCCGCGGACACGACGAGCCTCTACAAGGCTTTGGGCGTCGCCAAGGGCGCGTCGCCGGCGGAGATCAAAAAGGCCTACCGGAAGAAGGCGCTCCGCATGCACCCGGACAAGGGCGGCGACCCCGAGGAGTTCAAGAAGCTCCAGGCGGCCTACGAGGTGCTGAGCGACGAGGAGAAGCGGGCCATCTACGACCAGCACGGCCTCGAGGGCCTCGAGGCCGGCGGCGGCGGCGGCGGCGGCGGCATGGGCGACATCTTCGACCTCTTCGGCGGCGGCCGGCGGCGGGGCAAGTCGGGCAAGGAGAAGGTCGCGCCGTTGACGTTCACGATCAAGGCCAGCCTCGAGATGCTCTACAAGGGGAAGACGGCCAAGTTCGCGTTCAAGCGCAGCGTCGTCGTCGGCGAGCCGAAGAAGTGCGGCGAGTGCCGGGGCACGGGCGTCGTCATGAAGATGGTCCAGGTCGGCCCGGGCATGATGACCCAGGCCCAGGCCCAGTGCGGCTCCTGCACCAAGGGCTACCGGTGCGCCATGAAGAAGGAGCGCGTCGAGGTCGAGGTCCGCGTCGACAAGGGCGCCGCGGACAAGGCGAAGATCAAGGTGCTCTGCAAGGGCAACGAGCAGGCCGGCGCGGAGACGGGCGACGTCCACTTCGTCATCCAGCAGAAGCCCCACGACCTGTTCACGCGCAAGGGCGCGGACCTGCTGCTGAAGAAGGACATCGCGCTCGTCGAGGCGCTCGCGGGCTTCGAGTTCGTCGTGCCGACGCTCGACGGCCGCAAGCTCCTCGTGCGCGCCAAGCCGGGCCAGATCGTCCGGCCCGAGGTCGCCCGGGGCATCCCCTTTGTCATGTGCGTCGACAACGAGGGCATGCCCAAGTACGGCAACCCCTTCGACAAGGGGCGCCTCTTCGTCCTCTTCCACATCGTCTTCCCGCGCAACGGCGCGCTCAAGCCCGAGGCCATCGCCAAGCTCAAGCGGGCCCTGCCCCCGGCGCTGAGCCACCCGGTCGTGGGCGCGGACCCGGCGACGGTCCGCAAGCTCAAGGAGAAGCAGAAGGCCGCGGACGGCGACGACGGCGACGACGACGACGAGTGCGCCGAGCCCGAGGAGTGCGCCCTCGAGCGCGTCAACATGGACGACTTTGGCAAGGGCGTCGGCGCGGACGGGCCCGAGGGCGGCGGCGACGCGCACGACGAGGACGACGAGGGCCAGGGCCACCCGGGCGGCGGCCAGCCGGGCGTCCAGTGCGCCCAGCAGTAGGCCGGGGGTCGCGCTAAGCTTCCCCACGTATCCCGCGCGGGGGTGCGCTTAGCGCCGCTTGATGCACTTCAATATGGACCTCAACCACGATCATGATGAACTTTTGAAGTAGCTCAAAGGTTTGACACTACTTCAAAGGTTTGGTGGACACGATGGGGGCCACCTTTCTGCTGTGGGCAGCGCTCTCCCACGCCCAGTACTTCCCGCGCCGCGTCCCGGGGCACGCGCGGCGGAGCCTCCAGGGGAACCGCCCGCCGCCGCCGGGCGGCGGCGGCGTCGTGCCTGGCGACGGGGGGTCGTCCGACAGCGGCTCGACGAGCTCGGACGCCTGCCCGGGCACCGACGGGGAGACCTGCGACAACGCGGGTTCCACGGGCTACGCCGACGCGAGCGGCCTGACCTTCGATGTGGCGACGGGCAAGTTCAGCGGCGAGTTCGTCACGAACGGCTGCAACGACCAGCCGCGGACCTACGACGGCGAGCTCTTTCCGGGGACGTCGACGGCGAGCTGCGAGTCGCAGACGATCCCCGCCTACGAGTCGAGCTCGGGCCTGCCGACGCTCGGCCGCGCGGGGATGACGCTCAGCGGCGGGGTCAACATCTACAGCGCCTTCGAGGCGGGCTTCAACGAGTGCTCCGACGGCATGCCCTACGCGTGCTGCGGAGCGTCCTGCGAGGGCGGCGTCGACGTCCTGACATGTGAGGCGCATCTGGAATACGCCTGCACCGACGACGTGAACACGCTCATGTTCATGGACAGCTGCGGCGGCCATGCAGAGCCCTACCACATCCACACGGATCCGGTCTGCAACTACGAGGCGTCGGAGAGCGGCCACTCGACGGCCGTGGGGGTCATGTTGGATGGGGCCGTCGTCTACGGCATCCAGGAGACGGCCGCGTCGCGGCCCTGCGATCTGGATTCCTGCCTCGGCCACGTCGGTCCCGTGCCCGCGAACGACGCCTACGGCATCGACGAGGGCAGCGCGATCTACCACTATCACACGAGGAATATCATTTTAAATGTTGCGTTTACGATGGCTAAAAAACAAAATATGAGTTTGGTATACGTTATACAAATTAGGGTGATACCCGCCCCCGTCGGCGGCGTCTGTCGTACGCGCTGGGGCGATAATGGCTCAATCATACATTAGATTGCGCTTCCCCCAAATATTGCACTTTCCCACGAGGAAAGACACCCAAATCCGTGCCAAACAACACAAAATCCGAGCAACATTTTATATCAAAATATCAATTTTATCACACACTTTTATGAAATCCATGACCAGAATACACTGACACGGCACGGATTTTTCACAAGACCGTTCTATTGGAATTTTTGTGAGAAATTTCAAGACTACAATGGTTCAGACATTTGACACGGATTTGACATCACACTTCTATGGAGGCGCGTGCCACAGCTTTACACAAACCTCGCATAGGATTTCAGGATTTCACAAGACCTACACGAGGACTCCAATGGTGCAAGCACCGCACGCCGGCGGACCGTTGGTCGCGCTCGTCATCGCTGCTGCGAATTCTGCCAATCCTATTCCGCCTATTCCGCCCATTCTGCCTCCTCCGCGCCCCGGGAGATCATCGATCGATTTCGTCAATTCCGCCTATTCTGCCAATTCTGCCAATTCCGCCTATTCTGGCTCGACGTGGACTCCGGACTCGCGCTCGTCATCGGTGCGGCGAATTCTGCCAATTCTGCCTATAGATTCTGCCAATTCTGCCCATTCTGCCCCCTCCGTGGCCCGGGAGATCGTCGTTCGAGCTCGTCAATTCCGCCTATTCTGCCAATTCTGCCAATTCCGCCTATTCTGGCTCGACGTGGACTCCGGACTCGCGCTCGCGATCGTCGTGTTCCGCACCTAGTTTCGACCCGCTTTAAGACAGTTTCTTAGACGAAATTTCCGTCTTCGCCCCCTAAAGGCAAAATCTCGTTCCGCCTCGATTCTGCTCTCCGCCTCGACTCACCTGAACGGTGCACTCTCTAGTTAACGGTGCGTCGCCGCACGACGCCGTTGGGCACACGGGGGGGGGGGGGGGCTGTTCTTTTGAACACTACCGGCGTGTAAAAGGCGCGCCGCGTCCTCCCGGGGAACACCAGAGCTCTCACCCGGGCTGCATGGCGACCTGGCCCGGCGCGAGGTAGTGGTACATCTGGTCGTCGAGCCGCACGACCTGGGACGACGCGATGTCCGTGCCCTCGAGGTGGAGCGCGAGCGTGACGTCGTAGGAGAGGCGGTCGTTGGCCTTGAAGTCGAGCGTGCCCGTGACGCGCTGGCCCGCGTTGACGGCGATCGGTCGTCGGAGCAGGAGCCGGCTCTGGTACCAGTGCGTGCCGGGCATGGACGGCGACGTGGAGAGGACGACGCGCTCGACGGAGCCGTCGAAGGTCGTGTCGAACCAGCAGCCCACGCCGTGCATGATCGCGGTCTTGGTGATCAAAAAGTCGAGCGGGACGACGAAGTCGCGGAGCTCCGCGACGGTGCACGTGGCGAAGTCGAACTTGTAGGCCGCCGCCGTCTCGCAGAGCGCCGACTCGGGCGCGAAGTAGCCCACGACGGCCTGGCTGAAGTACTCCTCGAGCGCGTCCTCGTGCAAGGGCGTGAGGTCGACGCCGTGGAAATCGCTCGCCAGCCAGAACGCCGCCTTGGCCTCCTGCTCCTGCCAGAGGGCGCCGTCCGTGACGGGCTGCACGAGGATCGTGCCCGTCGACGGCAGCATGAGCCCGCCGGGCCGCAGGAACCGGTCCCGCGCGGCGACGAACGCCTCGAGCATCCGCTCGTGCACGAGCAGGAAACCTAGGAAAAAACGTCGCGTCGCGGCGCGCGGGGACGGCGCGGCGGTCCCTCTTGCGTAAAAAAGTGCCCTCGGAATGAGCTGAGTTGAAGTTTCTCGTTCACGGTCGGCCCCGTTTTGGCGGCGCGTCAGAATAGGATTGTTCGGAAAGGAGGTTCGTCACCGGGCGGAGATTTTTTTTAGAAGCACGGACGCGGACGAACGCGCCGAGGGGCTCGGAGACGATGACGTCGACGTGCTCGGGGATCGTCACGTCCTCGACCTTGCCCTTGACGACGTGGACGCGGAAGTCCTTGTCCATCGCGTCCCAGGCCGCGTCCGCGGAGAGCTTCGCGGTCGCCAGCACGCCGGAGCCGGCGGCCGCGGGTTTCGGCGACGCCGACCCGTCGGGCGCGTAGCGCGCGAGGCGCGCGTTGGCCATGGCCGTCACGAGCTTCGCGGCCTTCTCGGCCATGCCGGACGCCTCGACGGCGTAGACGCGGCCCGCGCCCGCCTGCGCGGCGAAGAAGGAGAGGATGCCCGTGCCGGCGCCGACGTCGAGCACGACCTTGCCCGTGAGGTCCGGGGCGTTGGTCACGATGGCGCGCCGGTACGTCTCCGTGCGCACGGCGTCCTGGAGCATGTTCTGCTGGTGCAGCAGCCGCGCGTAGTAGACCCCAAAGGGCGACGGGTCCGGCGGCTTCTTCTCGTCGTCGTCGTCCATGGCGCTGGCCAGGGCCGACATCGCGTTCAGCGGCCGCGGCGCGCGCGCGGCGACGTTGCTGCCGGTCGAGCGGCTGGCTCGCGGCAGCCCGGGCGGCTAGCGGCTCGCCGAAAAACCTCGAGGCAAATCTCGAGGCTCGATCGACCCGCCGCGCCTTCTCCTGTCGCGTCGCGCTCAGCACACACCTTGCCGCTCTGCTGCTCCACCCAATTACTCTAACAAGTCCCTAGCACCCGTCCGAAGCCCGCGTCCCGCTCGATTCCAGCGCGCAGCCCGGCAAAACACACACTCGCTCGCCGAAGCGCCGTAACCAGACACACGCCGCCGCGCGCGCGCCGCACGCGCGACGCCGCGCCGTCCGCCGCAGGTCGCCGCGGACCATGTACTCGAACGTCGACAAGCTCCTGACGCGGCCGACGTCCTTCGGCAGCGAGACGGGCAGCCTCGCGGTCGGCGAGTTCGAGGCGTCGCCCGAGGTCCGCGACTTCGTGACGAGCGAGTGCAAGGTGCTCGTCGTCGGCGCGGGCGGCCTCGGCTGCGAGATCCTCAAGGACCTGGCGCTGTCGGGCTTCGCGGACATCCACGTCATCGACATGGACACCATCGACGTGTCGAACCTGAACCGCCAGTTCCTGTTCCGCGCGAAGGACGTCGGCAGCCCCAAGGCGACGACGGCGGCGGCGTTCATCAACGCGCGCTGCCCGAAGACGACGGTCACGGCCCACGTGGGCAAGGTCCAGGAGAAGGACGGCGACTTCTACGCGCAGTTCAACGTCGTCTGCTCGGGTCTGGACAACGTCGAGGCGCGGCGGTGGCTCAACTCCATGCTCGTGTCCCTCGCCGAGGTCGACGACGACGGCAACGTCGTCGACCCGAGCCAGATCATCCCCATGGTCGACGGCGGCACCGAGGGCTTCCGGGGCCAGGCGCGCGTCATCATCCCCCGGTTCACGTCCTGCTTCGAGTGCAGCCTCGACTCGTTCCCGCCGCAGAAGACCTACCCCATGTGCACCATCGCCGAGACGCCGCGCCTGCCGGAGCACTGCATCTCCTACGCCCAGCTCGTCGAGTGGCCCAAGGCCTTCCCGGACAAGTCCGTCGACACGGACTCGCCCGAGGACATGACGTGGATCTTCCAAGTGGCCGAGGCGCGCGCGCGGAAGTTCGACATCGAGGGCGTCACCTACATGAAGACCATGGGCGTCGTCAAGAACATCATCCCCGCCGTCGCGTCGACGAACGCCGTCGTGTCCGCGGTCTGCGTCAACGAGGTCTTCAAGCTCATGACGCTCTGCTCGCAGAGCCTGAACACGTACATGATGTACATGGGCAACCACGGCGTCTACACGCACACCTTCGAGTACAAGAAGAAGGACGACTGCCCCATCACGTCGGCGCGCGTCCGCACGCTCGCCGTCGCGCCGACGATGCTCCTCGGCACGCTCATCGAGTCCATGTGCGGCCCGGACTCGGACCTGCGCCTCAAGGCGCCGTCCCTGACGACGGCGAGCCAGTCGCTCTACATGCGCAAGCCCAAGGCCCTCGAGGCCGCGACGCGCGCGAACCTCGGCAAGCCCCTCTCCGAGCTCGTCGCCGACGACGACGAGATCACCGTCACCGACGCGATCTTCCCGGGCGACGTGTCCCTCACGCTGAAGCTGTCCTTCGAGTGCGAGGAGGCCGCGTAAGGACCGGGGGAAGCGACGCGGGTGCGTGGTCGACGCGGGCTAGGTAGTGAAATCTTAGGTATTTCGACGCCGCGGCGCCGGCGGCGTTGCCGTCGTATGTGCAGGTCGATCCGCGTCACTCGGGCTGGGCCTCGGCCCACGACTTGCCGCAGCGGTTCTCGGCGACGACGTCGCGGAGCAGCTTGAGGACGAAGAAGTTGAGCGAGCAGAGGCCCGCGAGGACGCGGAAGACGCCCGCCCAGCCGACGGTCGGCACGCAGGCCATCGCGAGGCGCGCGCCGAAGAGCGAGCCGAGGGCCACGGCGGAGAAGAGCACGGAGAAGATCTCGCCCGCGTTGCGGCTGCCGAAGAGCTGGGGCGTGACCGTCACGTACATGGCGTTGCTGCCGCCGAGGCAGAAGATGCACGAGCAGACGACGGCGAGGAACGCCGCGCGCGAGCGCAGCGTCAAGGGCAGCGCGAGCATGTTCAGGATCTGCAGCAGCGTCGTGGCGTGCCAGGACCGCTGGAAGCCGTAGAGGTCGATGAGGCGGCCGAAGGCGAGGCGCCCGAGCCCGCCCCAGACGCACGACAGGCCGCCGACCATCGAGAGGAACGCGTCGTCGTTGACGACGGCGGCCGCGTCGGACTCGCCGAAGCGCTTGTAGAGGCCGATGACCGTGTGCCCCGGGGCGAACGCCAGGAACCCGACGAGCCAGAGCGCGCGCAGCCGCCGCGACCGCACCGCCTCGCGGAAGCCGGCGCCGCCGACGCCGTCGGCGTTCGCGCGCCACCAGCTCGGGGACCAGAGCCGCGCCGCGCGCGGCCGCTCAAAGTCGGGGTTCCGCTGGACCAGCAACGACCCGGTGACGCCGACGAGCGCGTAGAGGCCCGCGAGGCGGCGGAGCATCTCGTCCCACGCGAGGCCCTTTTGCGCGAGGCTCGTCGCGACCTTGTTGAAGAAGAACGCGCCCGAGCCGAAGCCGAAGAGCGTGAGGCCGTTGATGAGGCCCCGCGAGTTCGGGAACCAGGAGCCGCCGGCGTACATGGGCGCCGTGTAGGCGATGCCGGCGCCGGCGCCGCCGCACACGGAGTAGACGAGGATGAACGGGAGCAATCGCGTGCAGTACGAGCTGAGCCACGTGCCGGCGATGAGGACGAGGCAGCCGATGAGCGTCGTCGCGCGCGCGCCCCAGGCCTTGTCCAGCTTCGCGCCCAGGGACAGCGCGAGCGCCTGGAAGACGATCATGATCGGCAGCACCTGGACCGCGTCGGGCGTCACGCCGGGCCGGTCGACGCCGTCGAAGAACCGCAGCGACGGCGTCACGTACGACAGGTAGTTGCCCCAGCAGTACATGGTGCCGAGCATGATGTGCGCGCACACGCCGCCCGCCACGCTCAAATAGCCGCGCACGAGCCGCCGCCGCTCGACCTCGCCGCCGGACGCTCGCACGGCTTTCGCACCCGCGCGCGCATGTGTGCGCGCGACTTTCCTAGGCTTCGGTGGCACTTTCGAGGACGGCGCGTTGAACGCCAACGACGTGGCGAGGCACACGACGACGAAAAAGCTCGCTCGCCGCGAGACGACGGCCACCATCGCGCGTCACCAGCGATGTTGCAGCTCGCGCAGAGTGCAATGGCTTGTGGCAATTAGCCCTAGCGGCGCAGCGTGCGCACCGCCCGGCCGCGTCGTTGCACGCCTCCGCACTCAGTTCGCGTGCCTGTTGTGCGCACCGCCGGCCGCGTCGTTGCACGCCTCCGCACTCAGTTCGCGTGCCTGTTGCGGTATTGGCAGCTCCGACTCAAACAAGCATGCTCAAGGCGCTCTGCCTCGTCGCGACGCTCCGCAAGCCGCGCCTCCCTTTCACCATCCGCCACCTCAACCGCATCTTCCTCGACCGCGACGAGGTCGAGGCATCACGCGTGACGCTCGCGCCCGAGGACCGGCGGTCGACGCACATCCGCGAGATCATCTGGCAGCGGAGGCCGCCGGAGCCGGGCGCGACGCTCCGCGTCGGCGTGCTCGACGGCGGCGTCGGCGACTGCTCCGCCGCGTTGACGAGCGACGGCGGCGTGGCCCTCGACGTGCCCCAAACACTCGCGGACGAGGCAGCGCCGCGACCGAAACTGGACGTCGTCCTCGCGTTGCCCGCGCCGCTGCGGCTCAAGCGCGTCCTGCCCGTGCTCGCGAGTCTGGGCGTCGACAAGCTCTGGCTCGTCGGCAGCGCGAAGACGGAGAAGGCCTACTTCGGCGCGAACGTGCTCAAGGACCTGCCGAAGCGGAAACCGCACGAGCGGACCGTCGAGCCCGCGGAGGTCCCGCGCGGCGCGCTCCGGGACTTGCTGGTAGAGGGCGCGGAGCAGTCGGGCGACCCGGCGCTGCCGCGCGTCGCGCTCTGCCGGTCGCTCAAGGCGGCGCTGCCGCGCGTCGACGCCGCCGCGCTCCGGCTCGCCGCGCACCCGGACCGGGGCCCGGACTTCAAAGCGCTCGACGACGCCACGGGCGAGCTGGTCTCCATCCCGCGCGCGCGGCGGCTCCGCGACGTCCCCGGCGCCCAGGGCCGCGCCGTGCTCGCCGTCGGGCCGGACCGCGGCTGGGAGGAGCCCGCGGAGCTCGCGCTGTTCGACGCCGCGGGCTTCGACCTCGTCACGCTCGGCGAGCGCACGCTCCGCACGGACGTCGCGCTCACCGCGCTCGTCGCCATGGTCCACGACCGGCTTTCGTAACAAGAGCGATTAGAGAGTTCCGGCGCGGCGGCGACGCGCGCGCGCCTAGGTTCGACAGGAGTACATCGAGTCCGCGTCCGCCTCCCAGGGGCCGATGAAGCTCTCCTTCGCGTTCCAGACGTCGAAGGCCTTCATGCCCGCCGGCGGGCACATGTAGCACTCCGTCGACCCGGCGTAGTGCTCCATGAGCTTCTTGCGCATCGTGGCCGCGAGCTCCGGGTGCGCGTTCGCCAGATCCGTGCGCTCGTTCGGGTCCGCGGCCAGATCGAAGAGCGACCCGTTGACGAGGTGGTCCGTGATGTCCGTCGTGTTGTAGCGCTCCAGGAACGGCTCCTGGGTCGTCGGCACGGGGTAGTTCGAGTAGTTGTAGTCGATGATGAACTTCCAGTTGTCGACGCGGATCGCGCCCGTGAGCTGGCCGCCGGCGACGCAGTGGTCCACGCCGTACAAAAGCTCCGTCCGCGGCGGCGTCGCGAGCTTCCGGATCGAGTCCCAGTGGTCCGCGCCGGACACCTCGGCGCCGAGGAGCGTCGACGACGACCGCAGCACGCCGCGGACGATCGTCGGGATCCAGTCCGTGATGTGGACGATGCCCTGGTAGAGCGAGCCGCTCGCGCGGTCGCCCAGGTACTTGGGCGCGTGCACAAAGGCGGGCACGCGGCAGCCGCCCTCCCAGTACGTCGCCTTCATGCCCCGGAGCGGCCAGTTCGAGCCCGTGTTCGACTCGCTCGTGCAGTGGCTCTGGTTGCACGTCGTCGGCACGGCGCCGTTGTCGCTCGCGAAGAGGATGACGCTGTCGTTGTAGGCGCCCGTCGCCTTGAGCGCCTCGACGACGCGGCCCACGGACCGGTCCGCGTAGTTGACGACGGCCGCGAAGACGCGGCGCTCGCGGTTCGTGAACGGCGCGAGCAGCTCGGCCTCGTTCCGCATGAACTCCTGGGGCGCCGACGTCGGGTAGTGGGGCGCGTTGAAGGAGAGGTAGAGGAAGAGGGGGTCGGTCGCGTGGTTCGCCGCGTGGCCCTCGACGAAGCCGACGGCCCGCTCGCGGAAGAGGTCCGTCGTGTAGCGCATGGACGCGTTGGCCATGGTCTCGTCCTCGTTCCGCAGGTCCGGGAAGCAGTTCGGGTTCGCGCAGTAGCCCCGCGACGAGATGTGGCTGAAGTAGGTGATGTCCGCGCCGTAGAAGCCGAAGAAGTGGTCGAAGCCGCGGTTGTGCGGCAGGTACTCCTCGTTGAAGTGGCCGATGTCCCACTTGCCCACCATGTAGGTGCGGTAGCCGCTCTCCTGCAGGTACTGGGGCAGCAGCTTGTACTTGAGGGGCAGCCCGATGGGGCTGTCCATGACGATCGTGCCGTGGCTGATGCCGTTGTGCATGGGCAGCACGCCGCTCAGCAGCGCCGCGCGGCTCACGGTGCACGTCGACTGCGTGTAGTACTGCGTGAGCTTGACGCCGTTCTCGGCGAGATCGCTCAGCACGGGCGTCAGCGCCGCCATGTCCGTCGACTGGTAGCCGATGTCGTTCCAGCCCATGTCGTCGAAGAGCACGTAGACGATGTGGGGCGTCTCCGGCGCGGACGCGACCTCCTCCGGCTCGGGCAGCGCCACCTCCTCGGACGCGTCGGCGGCGTCGTCGGTCATGTCCTCCATGGCCAGGTCCTCGGGCGTCGTCCCGGCGAGCTGGGCGCCCATGGCCCCGATGGTCACCATGATGAGGAAGCCGAGGAAGATCCCGAGCTTCGACTTGCGCGTCGACCCCTCGGCGACCTCCTCGTCCCCGTCCTTGATGGACTCGTAGGCATCGCCCCCGGCCATCGCGACGGCCAGGCAGCCCGCGGCGCTCGACGACGCGGACCAGCCCCAGGCGTGCGCGAATACGGGCTGCAACGAAACTAGATATGAAATTCAAGTTATCGTTTCTAAGTCTCCGCCCACTTCTCCGCCCGGGGGGACTTCCGGGGGGCTCACTTGGAGCTTCCTCAGGACCTCAAAGTCGACGCCCGTGCCGACGAGGTCCAGGTAGGCGAGCCTCTCCGGCCCGAACTCCGCGAGGAGCCACCGCGAGAAGACGGCGTGGGCGCGGTCGGCGACGCCCGCGCGCGCGAGGTCGTCGATCGTCCGATCGTCGATCTTCGCGACGAGGGCCTCGGCGACGGCCGTCGACGCCGTGCCGAAGAACTCCGTCGACCCGAAGGGGTGCCGCACGTAGGCGTCGCGGTAGAGCCGCTCGCCCCGGAGCGCGGCGAGGTCGACGTCGCGCCAGAGGAGCACGTCCGGGCGGCAGCTCAGAAAGACGTCGTACGCGAAGCCGCCGCGCCGCGCGGCGTCGAGCGCGAGCGCCAGCGCCGCGCCGAGGGAGTGCGCCAGCGACGCCATGTAGTAGCCGTCGCCCGCGCGGCGCCGGAACCACGGCTCCAGCGGCGGGTTCTCCTCGAAGACGCCGGCGGCCAAAGGTCCGAACGCGTTTTCGAAGCGGTCGCGGAGCGCCGCGTGCCAGATATGCGCGTACACATCGACGGCGAAAGGCGGGTTCGCGTCGATTATGTGCTTCCGGTAGGCGGCCGCGCAGCGCTCGACGTCGACGAACGCGCCGCGTTGATCGGCGAGCGCGCCCTGGTACCCCGCGGGCGCGTCGACGCGGCTCACGGCGCCGCGGAAGACGAGCGCCGCCCGCTTCGTCTTCGCGACGGGCCGCGGGGGGGTTTCCGGCGACCTCGCGTCCGCCTCGTCCGCGCCGTAGCAGGCGGCCGCGTCGGCCCGCGCGCCGGACGCGCGCGCCGTCGCGACGACGTCGCCGTCGCCAAAGTCCAGGGCGACGTCGGCGAAGCCGAGCTGCCCGAGGCGCCGCGCGAAGGCCGCCGCCTCGGCCGCGTCGACGTCGCCGCCGAGGCCGTTGGCCGCCGTCGCGTCGAAGCGCCGCGGCTCGAGGCGGTCGCCGCGCCGCCGCAGCGGCAGCCACACGGACAACGTGCCGTTGGCGCGGAGCGCCGTCGCCGCGTCCGCGGCGACGAGGCAGCGCGCCGCGGCGACGAAGCGCCGCTCGTCGGGCCCCTCGGCGTACCGCGCGTCGCGCGGGCGGCCGCGCCAGAACGCGCTCGGGTGGCCGTGGGCCCAGGCCGCCGCCGCTTCGAGGTCCGCGCCGTCCGCCGCGGACCGCGCGCCGCCGCCGGCGACGAGGACGAGGTCGTACTCGTCCGCGGGCGCCGCGAAGACGCCGTCCGCGGGCGCGAGCGTCGCGAAGCCGCTCTGCCACGCGTGGACCCGCCGCCGGTCCCAGCCGTCGGCCGCCGCCGCCGCCAGGGTCCGCGCCGCGTGGGCGCCGACGAGGTCGCAGCCGTCGACGCGGGCCCAGGCCGCGAGGCGCAGCAGCGCGACGACCGCGCCGCCGCCGGGCCCGCAGTTCGCGACGAGCGCGTTCGCGCCGCGCCAGCGCCGCGGGTCCTCGGCGACGACGCGCGCGACGCGGCCGTAGAAGGCGGCGCCGCCGGCCCAGGGCGCCGGCGGCGCGAGCTCCAGCGCGCGCTCGTAGAAGAGGCGCTCGCTCGCGAAGAACCGGTCGAACGCCCGCGGCGCCGCGGCGCCGCGGAGCCTCCCGTGGGACGTCGGCCGCTCGCGCGGCCGCACCTCAAGGTCGTGCGTCGCCGCCTCCGTGCCGAAGGCGCCGGCGAGCGCGTCCGGAGCGCCGAGGTCCCAGTAGTCGGAGAAGCGCCGCGACACCTCGGCGCGCAGCGCCGGGCCGGCGTCGGGCACGACGACGACGTAGCCGTTGATGCTGACGGGCACGGCCCGGAGCGCCGACCGTAGCGTCGCATCGAAGTCGACGTCGACGGTGACCGCTGCAGCCACGGTCAGGGCTAGGAAGCCGCGCATCGCGCGGGGCAGCCCTGTTCAAGAGATCGAAGTTGCAGACGACGTTGAAGAAGTGGTGCGCCCTGCGAGCGGCGCATAACCCCCGCCCCCGTTGCGCGTTGATGGTTGAGTTTAGCGCGGTGAGGATGGGTCTCTGTGCAGGGCGCTGGTCTTTTGAGAAGCTACGGCGACTCGGGGAAAGGCGGGGGCGGCGTCGGCGGCGGCGCGGCGGCGGCGACGCGCGGCGGCACCGGCAGCACGCGCGGCGGGATCGCGACGGGCCGCGGCGACCGCGACCGCGACCGCGACGCGGACCTCGACGACCGCGACGCGGACCGCGCGCGGCTCGGCGGCGGCGCCCCGGGCGGCTCCGCGAGGTGCTTGTTCGACACGAGCGCGTACGCGCAGAGGCCGTGCTTGGCCACGCGGCCGTTCGCCTCTCCCGCGCGCGGCGTGCCGTGCCACACGGTGCCCGGCACGAAGATGGCCCGGCCGTCGCCTTGGGCGGAGTCGCCGATGTCGATGACGAGCGCCGCGTCGAAGACGGCGAAGCAGAGGTCGCCTGTGCCGATCGGCACGTCGGGCGCCTGGCGGCCGGGGACCGCGATCGCTTCGACGAGGTCGCGCTCGTCGCGGTGGAACGGGCAGCCTGGGAAGGACGCTGTGATCGCGCGTTGCTCGCGGGACGATCGGACGCTGGAGCACGCCGTAGCTGCGGGTAAAAGCCATGGACGGCGACGAGAAGCGCGTCGGTCCGTCGACGTCGATCGGCGACGCGCCGAGGCCGTCGACCGACCGCGCCTTGAAGACGTCGTCGGCCTTGGCGAGGTGGGCCGCGCGGTGTCGCGCCGCCGCGGGCAGCACGGCGGCCTCGCAGGCGCCGAGCCTTTCGCTCGCGCGCATCAGGGTCCGCAGGAAACCCGCGTCGCTCCGCAAAGGTTCGCCGTCCTCGTCGCCGTAGGCGTAGGAGCAGAAGATGCCCCGCTGGTCGCGGTGCCGTCCGAAGCAGTACATGCTGCCGTCCTGGACCAGGGTCCCGCGATCCTGGCACGGCATGTGGCGCGCCATCTTGTCGACGGCCTCCTCGACGCCCCGCTTGTCGTTTAGCTTGCGGACGACGTCGCGCGCCGCGAGATTCAGGCTCGCGAGCGGCCCGCCCTTCTGGCCGCGGCGCGCGGGCGCGACGTGGCCGTGGACGGACACGCAGACCTGCGACGCGAGGGGATGGTCGCGGCGCCCCGGAATTCGCGGACGCGGGGGGCACTCGCGAGCGCGTAGAGCCCCGTCGCGCCGGCCCGCTCGACGACGACGATGTCCTCCGAGGCCCCGAGGTAGCGCCAGCCCGCCTTGTCGCGGAGCCAGCCCGGCCGCAGCCGCGTGTCCTCCAGGCGCAGCAACGACTCCGGATCCTCGCCGTCGTCGAGGCGCGACACCATTTCGCCGGGCCGCCGCAGGACGACGACCTTCGATTCCACCAACACGTCCCAGGAGAGGTGACATTCGCCGGTGGGATCGCAGCCCGGCACGAGCGTCGCCTCGATGACCGCGCGCGCCGCGTCCGAGCCCGCCGCGAGCTCCTCCTGCTGCGGCGGCCGCAGCTTCTCCTCCATCGACGTCGTCTCCTCCTCCTCGTCCGACGACGCGTCGACGAGCACGGGCGCCGTGTTGCAGCGCTTCACGACGGCGCGCGGCCGCGCCGCCGCGGGCGTCGACGCCGCCGGCCGCGCCGCGGGCTTCGCCGCGGGCCGCGCCGCCGCGGGCTTCGACGCCGCCGCGGGCTTCGACGCCGCCGCGCGCTTCGGCGCCGCCGCGCGCGCGCGCTTCGCCGGCGGCGGCCGCTCGGCGCCGGTCTCGCCGACGCGAGCGTAGGTGAATCGCGGCGACGTCGGGTACGCGGGGTCGTACGCGGCGCCCGCAGTCGTCGCGCGCCGCGCGCGCCGCACGCCCGACGAGTGCTCCGCGGAACCTACGACGGGCGGGCGCGTGTGGTGGCGGAATTCAGAAAAGAGCGACGAACCCAGCGCGGCCGAAGGGAGCGCGTATCGCTTTTGTTTCCAGCTTTGGCCCTCGAATTGGATGACGACGATGTCGCCGCGAACGGCGACGACGCGCGCGAGGTCGCTGGGGCGCTCGAGGCGGTAGACTAGCTCGCCCACTGAGAAGTCGAGCGTATCGTCCTCGCGCGCGTGCGGCTTCTTCACAATAGAACCGTCGTTGTCCAGCTCCTCGATGGCCTTGTCCTCGGGATAGAAAACGTAGTGGCCGCCGTTGGGCGTGATCTCCGTGATAATCGCATTGTACAGGTAGCCGTGCCAGTAGGCCTTGACCGGCTCGCCGACCTCGAACGTCGCAGCGGGCTCTTGCGTTGGCGCGACGGCCGCGTCTGGGTCGATGTCCATACTCTGTCACGATCACAGAGATGCACTTCCCGCCAAACTTAAAAAGTTTGCATTGCGACGCTGCAGCCCAGATGCTGCCCCCAAAGGTGCAGCCCCTCGACGAGCACCACCAAGGGGATATAAATCTAGATGGGGTGGCAGGCGAAACGCGAGGTCC